TTCTTCTTTCTTCTTTCTTCTTTCTTCTTTCTTCTTTCTTCTTTCTTCTGTATCTTCTTCGATGTGTGAGTGTATGTTCCAGCATAACTCTGTAACACCTCCAGCAATTTCAACCAAACTTGGTACACAGATTACTTACTCCCTGGAAACAAATACTGTGGATTAAGACACCCCTAACACCCCTCGGGGTGTGTATTCTGTCAAGATACAGCCTATTGTGCCTTCAGATGGCTTCTACTGTACTACCTTAGCAGTGCTGTTAACTTCCTAACAGTGAGGACAATTAACCAGTGGAACAGCTTGCCTTCAGCTGTTTCATCACTGGAGGTTTTTAAGAAGAGATTGGATAACCATTTGTCTGAAATAGTATAGGATCTCCTGCTTGAGCAGCGGGCTGGACTAGAAGATCTCCAAGGTCCCTTCCAGCTCTATTCTGATTCTGAGGAAGGAACTGACCACCCTAAATGTCGATCAGAAGCAGGGCGCCTGAGGCAAAAACTGTTGTATTTGAGGTGGAAAAATGATATAATGGGCATTGTGGTTGGAAAGAAAAACAGCCGAAGGCGCAAGAGGTGGATAAACGGCGTTTAGTTCAGGGGTTTCCAAGCTTGGCAACTTTCAGACTTGTGGACTTCAACGCCCAGAATTCCTGGCTGAGGAATTTTGGGGGTTGACGTTTGCAAGTCTCAAAATCGCCAAATTTGGAGAAACCTGGTTTAGGGTGGGTATAAACCGAGCCTGGAATTACAGTGGTAAATCATGCTAATTGTTAAGTGAATCAGTTTTGTGAAGAAGCTTCTTGGATGAGAAGGGAAATGTCTTCAAAGAAAAACCAGAAAGTCCTGTTGCCTCTCGAAAGACAAAAAGCGCACCTTTGGGAAAACCTGCGCATTTGCTATTTCTGACCTAACTGGGTGATTGAGAGTCTCCAGATTTTTGCTAACTCTTTTTTTTAATTATTATTTGCTCTTTGAAGGTTCCAATAATTCAAGTGGTCTATTCCTCCTTTACTTCATTTTACAACCCAGAAAAGAAGACGTTCACGTCAGGTAGGGTAACGCATAGCTTGCCGTGTTGTTCTGTTCCTCTTAACTGTCCTTGGAGATCCAAATTCTCTTGCCTGGTTAAAAGGAATCCAGGTTTTTGGCTTTGTGAGCGTGCTAGGTTTCACTCCCAATTCTCTGCCTGTGGATATGTGTGGGTTCAGAGGAGCGCCCCTTCCTTCCTGCTTACTTGATAGAGGAGCCACGGTGGTGCAAGTGGTCACAGGACTGCAGGGCTCCTTCTGCTGACTGCCGGCTGCCTGCAATTTGGCAGTTCGAATCTCACCAGGCTCCAGGTTGACTCAACCTCCTGTCCTCCTGAGGTGGGTAAAAGGAGGATCCAGATTGTTGGGGGAACGAGGCTGACTCTATAAACCACTTAGAGAGAGCTGTAAAATTCCTATGAAGCGATATATATATATATCTAAGTGCTATTGCCCTTCCTCCCTCCCTCCCTTTCTTCTTCCCTCTCTCCCTCCTTTCCTTCCTTCCTCCCTCCCTCCCTTCCTTCCATGGTGGTGCAGTGGTTAAAGGGCCGTATTGCAAGCAAACTCTGCCCACTGCTAGGAGTTCGATCCTGAGCAGCTCAGGGTTGACTCAGCCTCCTGTCCTCCTGAGGTGGGTAAAAAGAGGATCCAGATTGTTGCGGGGCAAGAGGCTGGCTCTGTAAACCACTTAGAGAGGGCTGTAAAAGCACTGTGAAGCGGTATATAAGTCTAAGTGCTATTGCCCTTCCTTCCTCCTTCCCTCTCTCCCTCCCTCCCTCCTTCCTTCCTTCCTTCCTTCCTTCCTTCCTTCCTCCCTCCCTCCCATGATGGCGCAGCGGTTAAAGTGCAGTATTGCAAGCAATCTCTGCCCATTGCCAGGAGTTTGATCCTGAGCAGGTCAAGGTTGACTCAGCCTCCCGTCCTTCTGAGGTGGGTAAAATGAGGTTCCAGATTGTTGCGGGACAAGAGGCTGACTGTATAAACCGCTTAGAGCAGGGGTCTCTGCTGGCTGAGGAATTCTGGGAATTGAAGTCCACAAGTCTTAAAAGTTGCCAAGGTTGGAGACCCCTGGCTTAGAAGAGGGCTGTAAAAGCACCGTGAAGTGGTGTATGAAGTCTAAGGGCTCTTGCTAATGCTTGTCAATTGTCTCAACTAGCAGCGAAATCCCTTCGCCCCTGTTTTCCACGGTCCTGGTTTCACCACCTTTGGCCAATTCTCTGCCGTCCCCAAAGTCTGTTTCTTTCTGGAAAGTTCCCTCAGTCAAAGCAATAAAGTGGGGCTCCGTAGCACCTTCCGGGCAAGCAGCTCATCCATACTGTGAGATGCTCTAGGACTTAAGTCACCACCACGGTCAACTCACCATGTACAACTCGTCGCTGGACATGAGCTACACTAGTCTAGAAGAAACAGTGGAATAGCGCCATTAAAGCAAGGGTGTCAAACTCAAGGCCTAGGAGCCGGATCCAGCCCACGGGACTGTCCTGGTCTACCCAATGCAAAGAGGAAACAGGCCAGCAATTTGGGGAGTGGCACCAATCTGGCCATGGCCATCCAGTCAGCCACGCCCCCCTGCCCCCCCCTCCTAGGTCAACCACAGCCCTCAATGAAATTGAGTTTGACACCCCTGCATTAAAGGAAGGGTGCCAGGAGGGACAGAATGAAACGGGAATGACAACAATTAAAATAATTTTATTTTAAGTAATTAAATCGAATTGTTGAATTGTCCTGCAACGAGTGAGTTGACCCCTGGTGAGTTGACCATGGCAAGTTGACTCCGGCCAGTTGTCCCATTCCGTTGTGGGAACCCCAAAAGAACAGTGAACAGGAAATTAAATCGGGAGACCTATAAGGAGAAGAAGATGAGTTTGAGGGTTGGGCCATGTGTTGGGTGAGTGGGAGGCATTGACTTGTGGGGGGCCCTTCCCGAACACTTGGGAGAGTTGGCTTGACCAATCAACAGAGCTTGCTGCTTTAAATGTGTGTGTCAGGATTCCAGCAATCGCCCTCATTAAATCATGACTCTCGAGCCAAACTTCAAAAAACTTCAAAGGATTTATTAGAGGCGACATCCTGGCACTGCCCTGTATGAAGCCAAATCGGTGGCCCAGTTTCCTCCCTCCCCCCCGGGTGTCTCCTAAATCAGATTCTCCAATTGAGCCCGTTCATGGGCTGGGGGTCATCAATCACATTCTCCAAGTAAATATATTCATGAGCAAAAACTCTGGTAGTTTAGCTACACTCTCTTAAAAGATAAGAGTTGGAATGTACTTTTGCTTTCAACTGATCTTCCAGATTTTCTCCCCCAACCTTTTATGGCAACTATTAAAACAGGCATAGGGATGTTTGATGAGTTTTCCAGGTATGAATTTACCCCTCTCTTTTCTCCCTCCAGGCAAAATCAAGGTGGAAATATTCCCACCCATCTCGACGAAAGGCCTGACAACTGAGGATGTTGATGATCTCGCCAAGCGGTGCTACACTACCATGAGGGAAACCTTCTTCAGGTTGTCGGGGAAGAGCAAAGAAACCAACGGAGAGGCCTCCATCCTTGGGCAGTAGGGTCTCTGGGGCCCGATGGCTGTGGGACAGATCCTTCCATTGCCCCAAATACTGGCCAAGATCCCCTTGCTTGATGTTGTGAGGACAATGTGTAGGTTGCTCCCGAAGAACTTGAGGGAGGGAGGAGGAAATTTCAACCAGTGTGGATGTGCTCAAACCTCTCAGGTGGAGGAATCTCCTCCGGCTTTTCCCTCCCCGCCTTCTTCTCCACAAACTGCTATTACCAAAGAGTCCTGGGCTTCTTCTCAGTGTCCACAACCAGCAGTTTAAACCACCCCAAGTGCCTTTTCTCTCTCCTGGTGACTCCAGGGATTGAGTCCACGCCTTCCTCCTTGTCCTCTAGGGTGATAGTTGGCGCCTCTTCCCTTCATTGGGCACAGGGATAAACCGGGTGGACAGGACCAGAACCTGCCCCACTTGGCACTTTTCCCTGAGGAAGATGGGGGGTGGGGGGTCAGCCCCCACTATTTGACGCTGTTTTGGGTTGAAGGGAGAACGTTCCTGAACCAGTAATGATCCTTGTCCAGAAGAGGGAGATGCTGGGAGTTTGCTGTCCTGATAAGGCTGCATCTATTAATGTTGGGAGACAAAGGTGAGCGAGTAAACTCTCACAGGTAAGCTGGGGAGAGTGTGAAGGACCACTGCAGAGTTTGCCACTATGGTAACCGAGCAAATCCTATCTTCTACCCAGGACTCTCAGCGCAGCGCTTCTCAGTCTCACCAACTTTTAAGATGTGAGGACCTCAGCTCCAAGAATTCCCCAGCCAGCTAATAAGGGAATGCTGGCTGGAGAAGTCTGGGCACTGAAGTCCATACATCATAAAGTCCTTCCAACTTTAAATGTAGCCTAAGAATAAGGAACTTTTCTTATTTATTTGGGAACAAAGTGTCCCCCCACCCCCCAAAAATGTTATTTTCTTTGAAGATAACTATAGCTCCGTTGCAAGCAGAGATATTTCAAGGATTTGAGCCGCCAAAAGTGGCCTCATGGTTTTGGGTGCCGAAGTGCAAAGCAGACGTACTAACTTCAAAATTCTGAGATCTCGTGATGGCGGAGAGAAGAGCTGACAGGGAGCGAATCCTTTTTGCTGGAGAGGAATTCAAAAGAGTTACAAACGTGTAAAGAAATTTGATTAAATTGACCCTGCCCGTGGTGTTTGGATTGGCCCATCACCTCAGCACAAAGCCTGTGCATGCATTTTTGTTTTGATTTTTGTAAGAATGGAGGGCACTAATGGCTGTGCCCTCAGCGGAGTTGTGAGTCCCAACGGCTGAGTTGCGCTGCGGCAGAAATCCCCAAAACTCTTAAAGGGAATGGAAAGTACTTTCAGACAGGCATCGTGTTCACTCAGAATCGTGATGGAGAACTTGCCATTTGTCCAGCATCCTCTGCGTGTTGAGCTGCTGCCCTGCTAAACTGTGGTTGTTCCCCACAAGCCTTGACCCCCCCGCAGCCATTGTCATCCGAACCAGACAGAGGAGTCACTGCCTGTTGGTTGACAATCATCCTTGCGCTCCCTTCAGTGTCCAAGTTGAGGGAAGACTCCGCCATCTTGCAAAGTTTGAATGATGCTCTCCAGCCCCCCGAGAGAAAGACTCTGGAATATTTTTTTTTTACTCAAGGTTGGAGACTTTCATCTGTTTCTGAACCAAGTTGGGTGGGCTTAGGTGATCTTTAAGGTCCCCGCCATGCAAAAGCAAGTTGCTTTCCCTTAGTTTCATCCAATCTGCACCCCCCCCGGTCCCCCATGGGTTATTCTACAGTCCCACAAAAAGGCCCGGGACTGGGCACAGCTCCTTGATCCGGAGGCTCCAGAGCACAAGATCTCAACCATAACAACGTCAAGATGGGCAGCCTTCAAACTCCCAGAATTCCCCAGCCAGCTTACCGGTTAGGGAATTGTGGGAGTTGGAAGTCCATCCATCTTAAAAATCACTGAGGTTGAAAACTCTCCGGAGAATTCCTTGGTGATCAGTCATCCTTCCATGGATAGGAGAACAGTTGAAGTCCAGGATCTCTCTCCGCTCCATCCCAGGATCTTGGGTGCTGTTCGTGCTGTGCCCCCACCCTCCACCCCAGTCCAGTTCTGCAACAAAGCCGCTTTGCTGGGGGGATGAAGCTACGAGATCCGCCCAACACAATTCCAGCATTCAGACGATCTGTTCTCTCCACCATCTTGTAAAGCCAGTTTCAGCTTTATTTACAGGGTTTGGGAACATGGCTGTCCTGTCTGGAGGGGAGGGAGGAACGACAAGGCTCTCAACCTTAGGAAAAGCACTTACCACCAGCCTATCTTCAGGGGGTGCAGACAAGAAAGAGCTTATGTGGCTGCTGGGAGTTGTAGTCCTGGCAGCTGAAGAATGGTTTTCCCACCCTGTCTGAAGCATACCAAAAACATGTGCAAAAGTGCCTTATTGCTAAAGCTTTGATTGCTTTTTGGTATCGTCAAATGTACTATTTTTATAAAGAATTTTATTTAAAGAGAACCAATGCTGGAGTGGTTGATTCCTTCCAACACTTTGGCTTTGGGGAAATTGGGGGAGGGGAGGCAGAGGCTCCATTAGCCGCCATCATCTTCGTTTAACGATCCCATAATCCCTTGCATTGGGGTGGGAGTCTAGGCAACTGAATGGAACTAGCAAGGGTGTTTTAATGGCTGGATGCCCTCCCTGTCCCCAATGTGGAGTTTTCTTCAGTGGATATTTTCTCAGCGTGCCCAGAGGGAGAAATATCCGTGAGGCTCAATAGCCAATGGTAATTTACCTTGTTACATCCACCTTAATGTTAAGCGTTTTAGTCAGGGGTGGGATTTTACCAGTTCACACCTATTTGCTAGAATCGGTTGTTAACATTCTAAGCACAGAGAACTGGTTGTTAGAAGAAATTACTGGGCTAATCCTGTAAGGAAGGCAGGAAGGAAACATTCTGGTGTTGCTTACAGAAACTGCCTCTCCGTTAACCCTAATTACGTTCTTGGCAGGACTAGACTTCCTGTCTCAGGAATCTCTCTGGAGTTTTTTCCCCCCTCCTTTTCTGGTACTTTGGTTATGTGGAGGGACCATTCAAGGTTACAATGGCACTGAAAAAAGTGTCTTATGACCCTTTTTCACACTTACGACTCTGTTGCAGCATCCCCACAGTCATGAGAGGCCAGGCAAGGAGATGCGTGCCTCAATGTGACTGATATTGAGTTGGCCACGCCCAGCCAACAACATGACCACCAAGCCACATCCACCAGTCACATGACCACCAAGCCACACCCACCAACTAAGACACGCCCACAGAACTGATTGTTAAAAAATTTGAATCCCACCCCTGGTTTTAGTGCCACATTTCACTTTGTATGCAGCATATTGCAGACTGACTGCCCACAGTTTGGAGTTCGATCCTGAGCGGCTCCAGGTTGAACTCAGCCTCCTGTCCTTCCAAGGTCCATAAAATGAGGGCCAGATTGTTGGGGGCAAGAGGATAACTCTCTAAACTGCTTAAGAGAGGGCTGTAAACCACTGTGAAGCGGTATATAAGTCTTTGGGCTATCACTATAACTCAAGGTGGCAAACGCACACAATACTCCTTCATCCTATTCCTTCTACAAGCCGCCTTTGGAGCTGGGTTGGGCTGAGAGAAAAGGACTGGCCCAAAGTCTCCCAGCCAGATTTTGTGCCTAAGATGGGATTAGAACTCACAATCGCTTGCTATCTTAGGCCCAGCACCTTCACCATTTCACCCAACTGGCTTGATGCTCCTTTTGCTCATCGGTGGGGCTTCTGAAGGGTCTCCATGGAAAATCCAGCCGAGCCTGCAATGATGCCACCCAAAGCTTTCTTCTTGGCCTTTCCAAAACCCGAGCAAAGGAACTTCCAAGTTCACCTAAAAGGCATTTCCACCCGAGAGGCAGTGAAATGACATTTTTGCCCCCAGCAAGTCGTTTTCGAGACTGAAAAATCCCCTCCAAGGCCCTGCCTCAGTGGTCTTGCAGGAAAGCTCAGCGAATGCAGCCATTCTAAGCTCTCCCCATTATAATGAGATTAAAAGTCCCACTTCTGAAGGTGTTTTAGCCAAGAACAGGTTTATTGGAAAGCCGGGGACAGGAAGACCCCAGCCGGTCCAGCATGATTTCCATGGTATCTTTCAAACATTTGCAGAACTTCAGCAAACCTCAGAACATCCTTTTCTTCTAGTTGTTTCCTTCCTTATCAGCGGCTCTGCCTGGCTCCCACCGTTCCTAAGGGCTTCCTTTTGCTTCCACCCAACCTCATCACAATCATGTTTTTACTGAGAAAGGAGAAACAGGGAGGCCAACCGTCCCAAAGATCCATTAATTTCCCAAAGAGGTTACAAGCAGGTTACAACAGCTTCTCCGTTGTACAAAGTGGCCCTAGCTTAAGGCTGTCAAACTCAGTTTCACCGAGGGCGCATCAGGGGGGTGTTTGACCTCAGAGGGCCGGGGATATGTGTGTGTGTGTGGCCAGGGATAGGCTTCTAGGGGTCCGGGGGAGCCCCTCACTAAATTTCTGTGCAGTTCAGAGAACCCTCAAATCCCACTGCTGTCTGGTCCCGCCCGCCCCTCCTCTCCCAGGAGTCCCCACATGGCCCGTTTTGGATGCAGGTAAGTGCAGGGCGCATGTGGAGATCGGGAAGGGTGAAAAACAGGCCTCCTGGGAGTTCGGGAAGGCCAGAAATAGGCGTGTTTCCGGCTTCCAGAGAGCCTCGGGAGCCTGGGGAGGCTGTTTTCGCCCTTCCAGAGGCTCAAGGAAAGCCTCCGGAGTCTGGGGAAGGCAAAAACACCCCCCCACACGGTGCAGGAGGCCAACTAGGCCACGCCCACCATGGCCCTGCAACCAGACAGAAAACCCTTTGCTAAAATTTTTGAAGCCCGCCCCTGGGCTTGGCCATGGTGGGCCTCCTGCAGCACAGGGCTGCGCAAAGGCCCAGTGTGGCCTGTTCTCCAGCGGGCAGAGTGCTGCAGGAGGCCAGAGAGCAGGGGTGGGGTTCGAATTTTTTTTAACTACCTGTTCTGTGGGCATGGCTTGGTGGGCGTGGCAGGGGAAGGATACCGCAAAATCTCCAGTCAGAGGTGGGATTGGCCGGTTCTCCGAACTACTCAAAATTTCTGCTACCGGTTCTCCAGAACTGGTCAGAATCTGCTGAATACCCACCTCTGCAAGGGAGAGCAAAAATGGGCCGGTGGGTGGGGCTGCATGCGGTCCCGCTGTGGCCCATTTTGGCCGGCAGAGGCCCCACGGGCTGCTCCTTTGATATTTGCAAGCCGGCTTCCGTGGGCCAGATTTAAGCATCATGCGGGCCAGCTCCAGCCTTTGGGCCTCGAGTTTGACACCCCTGCTCTAGTTTTCATTCACAAATCTCTGCCACTGTTGCCCCATTGTGCTCTTCAATGCACAATATTGCAATGAACCCCCGCTGTCGGGACGATAACGCTCAATATGTGCAGGGAAGCAACCATGGAGGTTAAAAATCCATGCTCCGAACAAGAAAGAAAGGAAAGCGAAACATCTCCACTGTTGCGAAACACACACACACACACACACACACACACACACACACACACAAAGCAAAAAGAGACTTGGGATTATCCCCTTTGCTTTCTTCGCCACCTTTGGTACGTTGGCAAAGGCGGAGGTAATTCGATGCACTAGCAGCCCAAGTTCCTGCTTTAGGTGCTAGTACCTGGTCCATGAGGCAGAGTTATGGACTCCTGACGCAAAAGTACCTGGCTGGGCGGTCTAACTAGGGAGAGCAGCTCTGTAGTAGTGAAGTACCATGAGGGGAATGGACAATTTGCCACAGACAACTCGCCATGGCCAACTCATTGCAGCCAGTTCCAATACTTGAGGGGCTGCCCCAGAGAGGAGGAAGCGGTCAAGCTATTCTCCAAGGCACCTGAAGGCCAGACAAGGAACAATGGATGGAAACTGATCAAGGAGAGATTCAACCTGGAAATAAGGAGGAATTTTCTGACAGTGAGAACAACCCATGGAACAGTTTCTCTTCAGAAGTTGTGGGAGCTTCATCCCTGGAAGCTTTCAAGAAGAGACTGGACTGCCCACTGTCAGAAATTGTGCAGGATCTCCTGCTTGGGCGTGGGGGGGTTGGACTAGATGATCTACAAGGTCCCTTCCGACTCTGTTAAAGATTTCTGCAGCTGAATAACCAAATCCAGACCAGGGATCTCTTCGCGAGGCTTCATGTGAAGTGATGCCCTGTTTACAGGGTACGCAGTAAATCCGTTTGCACAAGAATGTTTGCAAGCAACAGTCTCTGGAGAACGGACATTTCTACTGGAGCGAAATGTACCGTCACCACAGTCAAGGTGAGTTCCACACCAGGGTGCATTTATTGCACGCCAAGAGGGAGCAGGCTCAGCTACCCAGTGCCCCCAGTGTGTTGAGGGGGGCGGCACACTGGATGTCTGGAAAAGGGGTGGGCAAATTCAACAATGGTTGGATTAATGACAAGAACAAAATGCATAAGGCAGAACATGGGCGAACTCTGGTTTCCTTTAAGGCTGTTTGAACAGATTACCTGTATTAGGTACTAGCTCAATATCTGCTTCGCTACAAAACTATGTGGTCAGGCTTAGTTTTGGGGGAGGAAAATAAAGGGGAGGGGGAATTCTGCCTCTGCCTACCAGCATCCATCGGTATTCATCTGGATAAGGTCCTGTCCGTGTGTGAGAGAGTTGAGGGCTGTTTGGAAACTGAAACAGTATTTGCTGTGCGACCAAGGAGAAGACAGCAAGGAGCCTGGGGCTGGCTTAGCTCAACTATTCTGTACCAAAGCTGCTTGGTGCTGTGAAACTGAAATTCTTCTCCTCTGCTTGTATTTTGCATTTGGAAGAGATTTCTTTTCAGGTGGGGAGGCGGGAGTAGAACTCCTTAGCATCAGAGCATGTGAATATCAATAATAATAGAAGAAATACAAATGCTCTGATGGTCATTTTGAAAAATCCTTTTTTAGCGAGCACCTAGATGCCAAGAGGAAGATATGTGCCAAATTTCACGTTTGTAAGCTTTACGGTTCTGGAGATTTTGTGATGATGCACGGGTGGTATTTCCTTTTATATACAAAAGATTTTTAGAAGGGGATGTTCCTGCAAATGAATTCTGACTGCTTTACTAAAATCAGGACTGTGTTTATAAAGGACAGGGGAGAAAATATATATATATATTCCCACCAAGCTGACAGGAAATGTCAACATTTTGCAAGAGAGATTCAAGGTTTAGCAGAATCTTGACAGGCCCTATCCAATAAGATGCTGATTCAGCAGGAAAAGAAATAAGGTTCCTTCCTTCCTTCCTTCCTTCCTTCCTTCCTTCCTTCCTTCCTCCCTCCCTCCCTCCCTCC